CATCTGAAACAATAGCTTTGTATTATGAATTTTATTTTTCAGTATTGTGATGGTGTATGTTTATGTGTGATGTAATTGCATGTTGTCACAATAAAAATTTTATAAAAAGAGACGAAAAGTCTGTTGATATAAATGATAACTTGAGGGTGTGGGTATGGGTATGAGTATGAGTGTAAGGTAAATAGGACATTCACGCCGTGGGATACTAAACGATTGAATGTAGCTGTTGCGATACCTGATAGATATCTTTATGCTATTGAAAGATCAGATGGACAATCTCTGCTTAATACAAATTAATTCTCATTGGAGTGATTGTCGATAAAATTCAAGGAGAAAAGGCATACTTCTGTGTGAACGTTATAATTCTAAAACAAAGAAATAGTTATCAATAGTACGAATGACAACATGTCGAAAACATCTTGATTAGGCTGTTTATAATGAATTTATTTGTATGCTTTCATGTTAATTATTGAAACAAATCGATGGTCATTCGTTGTTGAAATGAATTCAAGGAGATGTGGAATATGTTTTAAAATCAAATTATCTTAGTTATTCTCTTTAAAATAGATTGGTTTAGCTGTTGTTGACAATAACCTAATGACTATTAGTGGATTTGATGTACATTATTAGTTCTATCAAATACAGATGAACATATCGGAATTAATTGGTTCAATTAGTAGTTAATCTAACTAACTGTGATCTATAAATAATGAAATTTTTTTGATGTGAAGACTGAGAGAGTAATATTTCAATAGAGATTGACGTTACCCTCCACTATCTAAGGAATTTGAGATCATTGTTTCGTATTCTGTGTGATTACCTCTTAGAATTTCAAAAGAGAAAACTTGAAGAAAACAATAGTAAACAGTTATCTTAATATGATAAATGGGAATGTATCGACATCAAAATCAGATTCGACTTCTAAAATAACAATAGTCCATCAGTTTTAAAATTATTTTTTTTGAGTGTGTTGAAGTCTTCTGCAGTTGATGTGAACTAAAAGTTCTTTCTTTCAGTTTATTTCTACTCTCTTGTATTAAATGACTAAAGTCGAAGCCAAACTGGCAGATCTGGATACGAAATATATAATTAATATTTTAATTTAAAACAAGGATTTTGACACGTATGAAATACTTTCCCTACACGTGTCGTGCCGATATTATGGCAGGGTATTAGAGTTAACTTTCAGAAAATCTGAACAAACAAATGTGTAGGACTCGTTCATTGTGGCTGACTTCGTTTTTTTTAATTCACGACGCATCATATTTAAAAAATGTTGATTGTATCATGGTAATAAATTATCATCGGTTAGGTGGTAGTTTTGGTGTACTTAAAATACATCAATATGACTCAATACTTTATGAATAACTCCGATCTGTTTTGACACGTAATTTTTTTTTCTTCTCGATGTAAAATAGTTTCTTTGATTCAGTTGATTCATCTCTATATTATTAATGAAAACAAATGAAAAACTATTATTTTAGATGATTTATATCACACAATAATTTGAGAATAGATCAAAATTTTTGTTTTCATATATCAATTCATAAAAAGTAACATGAATTTGTTTTTAGTTTAAGAAAAATAAATGAAAACAATTTGAATAGAATATTAAATAGTCCAACAACTTCAAATGATGATCAATTGACATCATCTGAATTAAATAATGATTCAGTACATGATAATTTAGAGAATCAAATAAAAGATATTTGATCTAATAATAATGATAATGATAAATAAACAATAAATAGAATTCGTCATAGAAAGGGTGTGGGTATCTTTTCATCCTACCCACACCCACACCCACACCCTATCATGAATTTGTTCAAAAATGAAAGGCGTGTATTTACTCTTCGTTTGACTCATTATAGCTTTTTGGAAGTATAAATACTGAATAGATGAAAGCATACCTTGAAAGAAAATCAACTATATGATAGATTTCAGTTTCTAAATGAATAAATCAAGTTAAGTAAATAAGGATTCAAAACGAACAGTTGCGTTTTGTCGTCATCTTAACAGTGTATATGAGCGTAGATGAGTAAGAACATAATTGTAGAATAAGAGTCATTTCAATCTATAATCACATTCACACACTCTTCCTTAAACCTAAAGCCACACCCACACCGATGATGAATGGTATATCATCCAATTTATAATACTTTTATAGAGGCGTTTATGATTAAATAGTTTCATGGCGAAATTAAAATTTATGTTTCAGTTTTAAAAAGAAAATGTGTTTCTGTTAATGTTGATTAATATAATTCAGCACTTTTAAGATAAGTACTAATGTTGGCCTGTCCACCGGTAACCAATATTTGCCCATTTGCTAATATGGATGCTGTGTGATATTGTCGTATAGAGCTCATATTTCCTGTAGTTGTCCAAGTAGCTGTCGATGGATTGTACAACTCAGCACTATTGAGATAACTAGCACCGTTGTATCCACCAGCGACTAATATTTGACCATTTGCTAATATGGATGCTGTATGTATAGATCGTGCAAAACTCATGTTTCCTGTAGTTGTCCAAGTGCCTGTTGATGGATCATACAATTCAGCACTATTGAGATAAGCACCACCAGTACCTTGTCCACCAGTAACCAGTACTTGCCCATTTGTTAATACGGATGCTATATGAGCATAACGTGCAGAACTCATGTTTCCTGTAGTTGTCCAAGTACCTGTTGATGGATTGTATACCTCAGCACTATTGAGAGAACCATTACTATTAGATCCGCCAGTAACTAATACTTGCCCATTCGCTAATGTGGATGCTGTATGAGCATCACGTCCAAAATTCATGTTTCCTGTCGTTGTCCAAGTACCTGTTGATAAATTATACAATTCAGCACTATTGAGAAAACCACCACTATATCCACCCATAACTAATACTTGTCCATTTGTTAATATAGATGCTGCATGACTATCACGTGCAAAGCTCATGTTTCCTGTCGTTGTCCAAGTACCTGTTGATAGATTGTATAATTCAGCACTATTGAGATTACTACCCTTATATCCGCCAGCAACTAATACTTGCGTATTTGTTAATACGGATGCTGTATGAGCTAAACGTGCAGAACTCATGTTTCCTGTAGTTGTCCAAGTGCCTGTTGATGAATTGTACAATTCAACACTATTCAGATAAGTCGAACCGTTATATCCACCAGCAACTAATACTTGTCCATTTACTAGTGTAGATGCTGTATGCCTATATCGTGGTGCAGCCATGTTTCCTGTAGCTGCCCATACTAAATAATGTAGACAAGTGAGAACAAAGCTATTCTTGGAACAATGTTAATTCAGTCATATAACATAAGTTGTTTATCTATAGTTTGTGAACTCAATGATTATAAGACGTTTTAAACTTTTCTTTGTTCTCATGAAGGAAATAAAATATATATGGAAATATTAAGTCAATTCTAGGAAATAGGGATATTAATGATTCTTTAAATTTTAGAAAGTGAATGATAAATAAAAAGAGAGCATTCCTTAAAGTCAATAACGTTCATCATGCATGCAAGACTGAGTGAATCTTCATTTACGATAATTATCGTCCAGGTAATTACAAAACATCCAGCATATTACTGACCTCGTACTGCTATTGATGTTGTTGTTGATGATGACGACGATGTTGTTGTTGATGTTGATGATGTTGTTGTTGATGTTGATGATGATGACAATAATGTTGATATTGATGATGATGATGTTGTTGAAGTGATCTGATCTATATTGGAAAAATGAGATCAAAAAAGGAGAGAGGATAATCTGGTGAGGCTTCACCCAAAATTTTGCATACATCGTTCTACTAATAGTTTATTTAATTATGAGTGCATTGTGATAAATTTTACATAAGTTCCAATGGATTTACAAAACCTTGCGACTTATATAATGCTTATGTATAGGTATGCTTGTATCAGAATAGTTCAAATCCGTAAACTTGCACGAAATGCGACTTTAACAATGGTTCATTTGGAGTCCTATATAGCTGTGAGGGTGGAAAATGATGATAAAACACTTGTTATCGAGCAATTAGATGTGAACATCCTCGAAAACAGCTGCTGAGCATCAAAACTTTTTAGGAGCTAAAAGTGTGTTTTTATATTTCAGTGGCCGTGGCATATTTGACCAGCTTATATTTCTGAACATACAATAACCAATGAATCTCCTTTCGACACATCAGGATTATTACATCTATCGAAAGTAAAATCTAACTGACATAAGCAATTACTCGAACATTTACAACAAATAAATAAATAAATCTTCCGATCGGTTCAGAACTCCTCTAGTTTGGTGAATGTAAGTATCAATCTGAAGATGAGGTTGGCACGATGCATTTGAATGGCGAATCTATATAGGATTAACATTCTTCACTAACCTCTAACTTGCTAAACTAGAAAACGTGAGATTTTTATAAGAAATAATATCTTACAAAAATTTTCTCAGATATGTTTAGCTCGCTGGATAACAAAACTATTATATGTTTACAGTATTTATATTAATATACTTACTTTGTGCTATGAATATTGCTGATTGATTCAGAAATATTAAAGAAGAATTGAGACTAAATTCAATTAAAATCGAACTGTAACTCGTATAAAATAATTGACAAGTCTGATTTGTTGAAAAATAATTTAATGTCGATAATGCTCCATTTGAATTTATCATTTCACATATACATTGACTTTGTGTTATATTCCATAATGATTTATATATATTACCGATCAATATATTATTATCTATTTTACCGATAAGAATGCAATCACCACTTGAAAATACCAGTAAAACAAAAAATATCCAAAACATCTTTTACGACTTGATATTTTAAAATTCTTTCATAAATGTTTTAGTAACTAGCATTACTGTTTTTCTTTTCTTCCATTTTCTGCAACTCTCTTGCTTAATATTTAATCACCACAAAAAAGAAATTGCTGTAGATTGTTAGTCAGATGTCTGAGAAAAAATAACTACAGTCATGACTAGTATATATACACAAAGCGAGTAGAACAGCAACAAAAAAAAAGATTCGACTGTAAGAGAAGAAAATATTACCGTATAGTTTTTTTTAACCATTTATGGAATTAAAATTAGCATCATCAAATGTAGAGAACAAAAAAAGAAAGTTTTTTTTGTGTATATGAAATAGCTTTTTAAAATTAAATTACTTTCAGGATACTCATTCAATATTATGAAAGAAAGGAAGAAAAAAAATTGTGATAATTAACGAATTGCTTTATCTAAACGTACAGTCATCACATGTGTTGCTGTAGTAGAATGTTGTAGAGAATGAAACGTTTTTTTTTCTTAGTATTTTACATATAATAGATATCGGCGTTGCCATTAACAACAATTACATAGATTTGATTGAATATCGAACTTTTGGCTTTGTTTAATTTTGTCAATCATATTGGATCTCTACAAACATCAGAATTTAAAAATATAACATGAGAATTTTTATTTTACTTACAATCAATTTGATTGTAAAATCGATTTTTATAAATAAATTTCTGTCTTGAAGGAGTACCTTCTATTTTAATGTATTATTCAAGAAGATAGTGATAGGTGATCTTTTAAAAAGAATTGATTTACTAATTAGAGTGTTCAATTGCTATCGATAGCTTTGATGCAGCTAGTAATAAGAAAATATATTTATGACGTGATTCAAACCGACTAAAAATAACATTCGTATTGAATTGTTCTTAACATCATGTCCATCGACACTGGCTCATGCTCAGGTTGTTAAAACCATCTTAAGAATGTGAGTGTGGTTGTGGATGTCTCTTATCGATCTAGACCCACACCGACATACTCACTCACACCCAACCCTCAAGATAGACCAAGATAGAATTCAAATTTGATAGGATATATGACTAGAATTTCATCTGTATATGTATATACAGGTATTCTTTTCATTTAATATGGATGAGTTTATCAAAGGTATGAATTATTTTTTTAATATTGCAACACAAAGCATAATTCATTTTGTTACTAAAATGAACTTTTCCTCTCCTCCTATTCTTCTATATTTCTGTTGAGTGTCTTTTTTTCTAATCTAATACAACGAAACTCTACTTGTCCAGACATAACAATGTAAAGGTGTGTACTCAACCAGAACAAAGTTTCAGTAGAGACACATTTTCTTTTTCATCATTTTATATTGGTTTCCCAAAAAAATATAGAAAGAAACTATAATTTCTTTTTTAAGTTTTCGAGGTTTTTTCTCCATTGTTCAAGATTAGGATGATCTGCTGCTAATGATTGTTGTCCAATTTGTACAGCACGTTCATAAAATGAATGAGCTTTTGAGTAGTTATTCATATTCTCATTCACCACGCCGATATTGTTATAGGATTGAGCCAAATGAGGATGATTTGAAGGAAGTGATTCTTGTCGAATTGCAAGGGCTTTTTCATGAGATGAAAGTGCTTTTGGATAATCACCCATGTTATCATA